AACAGGGCCCTCCAGTGCCTCCCATTCGTGATGAAGAATTTCCTGCTGGAAAGGGTGGTCAGGCCTTGGCAGGGGCTGCCCCGGGAGGTGGCAGAGTCCCCATCCCTGGAGGTGTCCCAGGAAGGCCTGGCCGTGGCACTCAGTGCTCTGGGCTGGGGGACAAGGTGGGCATGGGGCACAGGGGGGATCCATGGGCTGGGAGGCCTTTTCCAACCTCAGTGAGTCCAAATTCCATGATCATCAGGAGATACCAAGTTTATTGCAATAAATGGAATATGACACGGGACATCCCCCTGTTGATCTCAGGGCTCAGCTCGGAGGTTTCTCTGTTTCTCTGTTTCCAGCACCAGAGGATGCAGAAGCATCACCCCCCCAAGTGCCAGAGGCCAAATCCTTCAGGGCCACGATATCCATTAACTGCAGAGCCTGAAGGGAGCCTCCAGGGAAGGTGGAGAGGGATTTGGACAAGGGCAAATGGCCTCAAACTGAGATAGAGCAGGTTTAGATTAGACTAAACAATACAGTTCTGTAGGAACTTCCTAGGAAATAATTTTTAAAAATTAACAAATTTAAACATCATTCCAACTAAAATCTCCCACATTTCTTCCCAAATTCTCACAATTCATTGCTTTTGCCACAATCCCTACTATTGTGTTGTTATCTACCCCTGACACGTAAATGGGGAAAAGATGAGATTTCATCTTAGAAGGGAGAAAAGGCTTCAAAACCACATTAAATTAATCTGATGGAATGAAGTGGAAAAGTTGTTTCCACATGAGGAGCTGAGCTGATGAAGGCTGTGTGAAGTGCAAGGAATTGATACGACACTGGAGTAGGAACAGCATCAGCAGCCGTGTGTGTCCCCAGCCCTGACTGCAGGGATTGTGACAAAGTCAGGATCACAACAGGTCTTGACACTTTTTTCCCAGGGTTTTTTAGTGATTTTACTCCTGACAGACTCTGTGAATGGAACCCAAAGCGTGTACAAGATTTATATTCATTTACTGTGGCTTATTAATACTGAAAAATTCCAGAAATTCCTCCTCCAGCACAGAGGTGAGGCCCTTGCAGCTGGGAACCTTCCTTCTCTCTGGAGCTCCCCCTGCTCCATCAGACGTGGTGCTTTGCTCACCCTCAGTCTGTGTTTCAGCTCCTCATTTCCTTCTCCGGTGGGTTTGTACCTGGGGCCTGGGGTGGGTTTGTGTTTGGTTGGGAATCAACGCTGGAAGGACATGTGGGGTCCTATAAACTGTTCCTCTGAGTGTGTAAAAATGGTCACACCCGGGGGGAAAAAAAAAAAAGACGTTTGAACTTCAAGCCTTTCCCTCCAGCGTTCTCTGCTGGAGATGTTGTGGGAGGAGAGATCACAGAGTCCCAGCATCCCTGGGGTTGGAAAAGCCCTCCCAATCCATGGAGTCCCCCCTGTGCCCGAGCTGAGCCTGGCACAGCCTGAGGCCGTTCCCTCTCCTCCTGTCCCTTGTTCCCTGGCAGCAGAGCCCGACCCCCCCCGGCTCCCCCCTCCTGTCAGGGGGTTGCAGAGCCAGAAGGTCCCCCCTGAGC